GCATATGTACTAGATGATGTATGGGTTTTATTATAGAAATGACAGGTAAATTGTTCACACTTTTCTGTCAATTGCTTATGTACGTATTGCTAGGAAATTGTTTGGTTCTAGAAATTGCGTATATTCCCTGCGTACTTATTTGTTTATTTTATGGCTACTTTAGTCTTCAAAATTGTAAACAAACAAGACATTACTTACTAGTACGTAACCATTAAGTGTAATCGTGAATACCTAACTAGAAGGGATTTTAAAACCTCATCATACAAAAAATAGTAGTAAATGTGGTCATTAACAGTATGCATAAACTAAAGCTCATTTATCTTTCACTTAAACTGTCCAATAGTTATTAATTTTAAATAAACAAAGACATTTTAGTCGGTACACATAACAATTTGAAACGTACATTCATTAAAGTTACTTACGTATCAAACGTTTTAAATCGGTTTTAATTTTTACCGTTAATAGGTTGGTATGAAAAGCTTGCGCTTTTATTAGTGCAACGTTGTTTAGCGCAAAAACCTTCGGCAATTGGACAAGGTTGATGAGGCAACTTACGTATGAATACATACATATAATACTGTTGTAGTTAAACTTGAACTTAGAGAAGGACGATACGCCAAAGGTTCGATAATTTGACATCAACCCATCATTGACAATTTAAAATGAGTTATAAAAGCCAAAGTTCAATATCATATTATTAAACTCAACGGCTTCCAAACACAGAAAAAAAATATGTATTTAACCTTTTATAGGAAATTATTTTTCTAAAACAAGTATAAATCAATTTTGTTTTTGTATTGGGTAGCCGCACTAGGATATTTGATTATAATGTAAAGAAAACATATCACTTGTCAATATCATAAGCGGTGATCATTTTACACAATTATTTTAAAATTATTACATGAAATATTTCCCTTGAAATAGCGTTTTGCGTAATTTAGCCCTGATAAACTGACAAATTTAAATGTTGAGGCAGATTGAGAGTTATAACGCGCCACACCTGTAATAAGTACAAAATAAGCAATAAAACTTATAGTGTCGTGGATGAAAAAATTATTTATCAAAATCATAAATAAATGAAAAACTACGCAAACTCTTCTCCTTATACGAAATCGAATGATGTTTTTGCTACTGTGCTGGTAGTAAATAATTTTCTTTCAAGAGGCTAGAACCGGAATTTATAGAAATTAGAAATGAAGAGCAAATTCAGGAACATGAAATTTAAGCTAAATTATCGTTTGCATCGCCCGGTATATTTATGAAGTGAACATCAAGGCAAATGACTACGAAAACAGTATTTTAAATAACAAATTATTACCAAATCGCGTAAAACAGGAGTCATTGGTTGACCAAGTGGAAGATTATATTCACGTGATTTTAATAAAATTAATTCGGCTGAGCCGTTTAAAAACTGGGTCATTAATAAAAAGGTATTTTCCACAATCTCTCTTGTCCTTTATTGCCGCAAATATATACGTATATGAAACTCATTTTACTCCTGCAAAATAAATAATTTCATGGCTGCTGTCAATGTTATCAACCGGTTCGGTTGGTTGAAAATAATTAGCGGGTGTAAACTAACAATAAATTAGTATAAATCAATCGATTTTGTCACGTTTGGGAAAACCCCGCTACGTAAAAATGATGTGAAAAACAACAGACCTTTAAATAGATGAAGTTTTTAACAAGAAAATTATGATTCTCTCTCCCAATTCCACATTATAATAATTTCAATTTTTCAATTTTAAATTAGACATTTATTTGCCGATTTTGTTGAATTGACTAATTCACTGCTTCACCTCTATTTCTGAACAGAAATATAATCTAGTTCTACCACTAACTAGCTCTTCTTGTCCGACATAAGAAGGTCTAATAGTCTAATATTTTGGTCATTTTTTACATTAGTTGACATTGGAATTGAGACATGAAGTTTAGTCAGGTAGGTAGTACTCACCAAGTAGAATCGTGTGGTAGCATTAATTCCGTGCGGAAACCAATGTAGCTTGAGATACAGGCTCCTAAAGTTATTTAATCGGAGGAAATTTCGATTGGTACGGCCCTGGCCGCAGCCCTTCGTCAGCTGTTCTCGCCAAATATGCATTGATGACGTCATTAGGTTAGGTAGATGTATGACAGACTCGAGTATGTTTAATGCCCCTGCCCGCCGAAGTCGGTCTGATACATTAGAATAATGTTAGGAAGATATGTTTTAAGACAAACGATGTTTGGCGGGAACAGCTGACGGAAGGCTGAAGCCAGGGCCGTACCTACCGGAATTTCCTCCGATTAAGAAAACTTTAAGGGCCTGTATCTCACTCACATTCATTTTTAAACAAATAGTAAACAAAATTCTAGTAAATACTACTACACTACTTTACTTTGTGAGTACTACCTACCTGAGTAAACTTCATGTCTCAATTCTAATGTCAACTAATGTAAAAAATTACCTTAACTTCTTGTATTTGTTTCAGTACATCGTTTCATTGTGTAGATAATAAAAATGAACGAGATTGAAGAAAGGCTGGCCTCAGATAATCCAGCATATATTTGTACTTTATTTTCTAAACTTGTGTCAGTAATTGAAAAAAAGCAAGATGAAGTTGTTACCAATGAAAATAGACAACTTGAATTATTACAGTTCTTGGAAAGGAAGTGTATTGATAAGAATTCATTAGTTGCTCTCACAGCTGCTAGGGCACTTTTGAAACTGGTGCAGGATGGTATTGTAGACAAAAACAAAGTACTACTTGACTTGACTTCAACTATAGTTGCAACTGAGTAATTTACCTGCCTACAAACTGAAAATTTAAAAGTAAATTCCAAATATATCTTGCAGATCATACAGTGGTTTATGTTATTTACTAAATGAAATGCTGGTAATTAAGATGGTACAAAATGAAGGGATCTATTATAATTTATGGTCACCACAGCATCCCCTGGTAAGTGTCATGAATCAACATTTTAAGAGTAGTGTGGAAATTTTCTATAATATTGAGAACACCTGTGTTATTAATCAGAGGTAATTGTATTCTTTAAAATCTCTATTTGTTGTAAAAATAACTTCGTTTTCTAGAAGTTATATTACAAAACTGTATTGGCCCATTTATTACTATTTGTTTTGTAATCCAGAAAGTCAGTTGAATACACCGATTCTTTATAAGTATTGGAACCTTTTACTAAAGGAAACTGATAATGAGCACATGAACTTAATGTTTAATATAGTAAGCTGGATGCAGGTATAAAATAGTTATAATATATTTTGATGTTTGTTTTGAGTTACCAATTTTTAGTTTCATAACTCAAATAGATTATTAATTATAATTGATTTCTTGCTGCAATGTCTTGAAGTACATATAATAGATAAGAGCACGTACATTGTTGAAGCACTAGCAGTTTTTCTGTCATCTTTACTACATGATGTAATTAAACTTGGGTTGAATCCTATAAGTATTATCAGAAGCTTACAGAAAACTTTAAACTTTTTAATGCATTCTAGTAGTTCTAATTTAATTGTTCTACTGATTTCTAGCAGTTTAATTGACTGCCCAGTGAATTATTTAACAGATTTACTAATTTTATGTAAGTTTAAATGCATAATGATTAATTGTAGAGAAGTTTCCTGATATTTAATTTATAATTTTAGGTGAAATGCTTCTAAAAAGTGCCGACATTAATGAGTTGTCCTTGAGGTGTTTACAGATATCATTATTTAATTGGATGGTCTTCAAGAGTGACTTATTAGAAATGAAATATATTAAAAGAATGATAATTAGAATTGAAAAAATAACAGAGCAGATAAATAATGGAACTAAAAAGGATAATTTAACGTTTAATTGTCTTGTTAAAAAGCTAAAAAGTAATCAGTACAACCTGCACATAGCATTTGAGTTGTATACACTTTGTAATTATCTTAATGCTGATGTATTTATCTTTTGGCTTGCCAGATTCTCAAGTAATATGAATGAAGTGCTTTCAAAGAATTTATTTATATTTTTATGTGGAATGATTTTATTCAAATCATTAAATGAAAATGCAATTAACGAATTGCTTCAACTTCTAATACATCTGGTAAAGAAACACAACTGTTATTCAACATTACTGTTGACAGCTGTATTGTACAAACTTTCATGTACAAAAAATCCAGAGATGCATTTCATATTATTGAAGACATTTCCGCATCTAATAATCTGCAAAGAAAACGTTCCTTTCATCTTTCATACATTGGAGTCACTCAGGAGTAGCACCATTCCAGTACGGACATTTATAATGAAGTTGCATTTTGATATTTGGAACCTAGACCCAAAATATTACATTAATTTACAAAATTTGTTGACTGAGAAGATACACAAGATATCTTTAGATGAGGATTTAGAAGTTAATGTGGTAAAGTCGAAAATCTTGAGAGAAATATGTATAAAAAGGTAAAGGCAGAAAAGTAATTTTAGGTAGCTGTTAATTTTAAATTTAAGTATTGTAGGCCGGAATTATATGGGGGCGAATTAGTGAGTTTCTTATCTGAAGTTTTGAATAAATATAGGCACAAGAATGGATCTTTACCATCTTCGTTAGCTTTAGAAGGAATTTCAGCCTTGTGTAAGGCTGGGATTGTTGATATATTTAGCACATTAAAGGAACTTTTTCCAAAATTCAGATCAGATACTAGAGATCGAGTGTTAATAAGGTGTGTGGTGTTTTTTTATTGCTTATTTGTCAATCGTTATGAATTCATTGGTAATTTTTGTACGTTTTGAATGTTTTTTTTTTTTTTTATTTCCAGTTTTTGTAACTTGGTAAGCACAGTACCCGATTATTTTGAAGAATCTGAAAGATGTGTTAGTTTATCACAAGAAGTCACGACGTTGTTGTGGGAATTCGCCACACAATCGGGAGATAAAAACGTTAGACGTTCGGCTTACGAAGGCCTAAGTAATTTCAAAATCGAAGACATAAGCGACACTATGCCAGAGAGATATAAAATTTGTACAAATGATGTTCTGCCGGCATTTGGTTTAGTTAACTGTAAGTTTAAAACAGTGGTTTATTTCTATTTTGTTGTTATTAATATTATAGTTAAATTTAATTGAACCTAAATTATTTTAAATTCCTATCCACGCTCTGAAGCCTATGTCATTCTGCGTGGGCGATAATGCTGCTTGCATTTCATTGTATATTCTCGGTATTTAATGGATTTAAAGTCATTTCTATATTAATTCTTTTGCAGGCGAATGCTGGATAAATATTTTAAAAAGTTCTCCTGAAGACACTTTAGACGCCATCGGTACTATGCTATTTAGATTAATTGAGATAGAAATAATCGAATTTCGACCTAGAATTTACCAGGTTCCAGAAGGTGGACGAGAACCCGACACATACAATTATTTATCAGTTTATAGTCCCTTGAGAGCCATAACAAACTACGTGAAATTAAACGTACGACTATATATTATTTTGTTAATGGTACTTTTTTTTCTTTCTTTTGTATATTATTGTATATATTACAGGTGCAAAAGATGAAGTTGAATGCAGCTTATTTGCAGTGCTTGAGAGTTTTAAGTCTAGAATATAAAAAGCCGTTACCCCCCTTGGACTGGTGTTTTTTACAAGAATTAGTTCATTATAAACAAGCCAAGTTTTTTTGTATTTGTATTGCTTCTCATCAAGTTCGGTCATCAGGATCTGCCCGACGTTTTATGGAAAATATCGTGGTCGCATTGACAACAAACGAACATGAGGTACAATAGCAAAAGACCTTTTCTTTTTACAAACTAATTATAATTTTGTTTTATACTGCAGTGTTTGGATGTTTTTCAAAACTTGAGGTTTTTATGCGACAGCATACAGCCTGCGATATTGAGGCCTTTTATAAAGAATGCTTTAACTTATTCCCTAAAGTTATACGATGAAGACGAACATTTTTTTAATACTATAAACACGTGTTTGAAAAGCACGTTGAGCAGACATGATATTCATGAAGCAAATAGAGCTACTATTAGCGACGTTTTAGTTTACGTTATAAAAAATGCAGACCAAAAGAGTCCAGTAAATCTAAGATACAACATAAAAAATTGTAATGAGATACTCTTAATTATTTATCTTTCAGAGTTTTGAAAGCATTTTAAAAACGACTGCAGAGCTGTCGAAAAACTATGTTTCAAAATTTAACTTGGACAGAACGTCGATATGGAAATTTCTGTTGTTCGTAAAAGTTCGGATTGCAAAAGCTCTATACTCGAAAGAAAATCACTTTAGTTGGTTAAATGAGATTTTTAATGTAGAAGACTACACTCAGGGGTATATCGGAATATTTATAATGACTTATAATATAATGAATAAACTTTTGTATGCCTACAGAGAACAAATAGTAATTTTACAAGAAGTTGTTAAGGTTATTAAAAAATACAAGAATGATCCTTCAGTTAGAGTGTGGATTCTAGAACTGCTAGGTCAAACTCAAGCACTCATAGTGGACAACGGGAGCACAGAAAAACGATTAAATTTTCTTTGCAGTACTATTGTAATTTCGTTCATTTTTCTAACGGATCAAGATATCTTAATACTTAATCCCCTAGAGATTATAAAGGACAGTAACATGGCCTTAACGTTGTTTCCGTCCAGCGTATATGGTGCAGTTAAGACAAATTTATGGCAGGAATATGTGCCACAGGTAAGATATTAGAACGCACTTCTTTTAAATCTGAATCATAAAATTTATCGTTTATAATTTCAGCTTTTAGAATGGCTTTATAACATGTCCAACTGTAAATTTATTATGTTTTCTTATCAAACTACCTTTTATCAAACTCTCTCAGCTTTGAGACACGAGAAGGCTTTCGGACGTAAATTATATTGGTTGAAATACATGGACAGAAAAATGGATATTATTTCGTAGGAATAGAGGAACAATTTTTAATGTGTGTAAGTGCATATAGTACGATTTCCGTATTTTATCATTAACTGGTTTTCTGAAAATTTAAACATTTAGATCACTGTTACAATGTTACCAAAAAAGTTATTCATTTATTGTACGATATATTCCCATATGCAACTGCTTTACTTAGATAATGAGTTCAAAAGTACTATACAAAATCAAAATATGCTTATTAATAATAACGAAGTTATTAACAAATAGGCGAAAAAAGGGTGACGTCGTTTGTGTTCCATTGTAGTAATGAATGTTGTACCACCAAAGACCAAACGTAAGGTACGAAAAATTCTTCAGGATGATCTTCTTCGACATATTTAAATTTGAGCTCTGGAAATTTCTAGAAGACAAACGGGAAATTTTAACGTATTAAAAATATCAAGTAGAAATCTTACAGTAAGTTTCTCTTTTGGCCAGTATTTTGACTCTGCACGTATCAAAGAAAATACTTCATTGTAGTCGTTCTCTAATTGCGGCTGTTTCTTTTCTAATAAATCAGAAAAATATTTAATGATTATGTCTAAATTCTTCATGATATCCGCAAAAATTGGGTTTTTTCTGTAATTCTCGAAAATATCTTTTTTATACAATAATGTGTACACGAGATTCTCGTTTTTTGTTAGCTGGCTGCTCAGACACGAATTTAATATTTCCAGGACCATCCGAAGTATTTCTTCAAGAACAACTATGTCTTGCTCCGTATTCGACTCCTCGTTTATCGATATAACATTAGCGCCAGCACCAGACCTTTCTTTTTCTAATTTTAATTTTTCTTGTAGTCTGCTGTATCTCTTCGCAAGCGTTTCAAACAACGACAGGAATCTCTGGCAGACATACGGATGAAGATCGCTAAAGTGAGCAGACATGTTAGCCAGCGCTGCTAAGCAGTTGGTGTGAAGGTACTTGTCTCTCATTCTCAACATGTTATATTGAATCGTACGAACGATGACCAGCACCAGCAAACCACCCAAAGATATGTCGGGAATGTTACGTTCGGTAAACCATGAACTTGATTTTATTTTCTTAAAAGTACAAGCATTTAAAACGTCGGCTCTTTTTTAATTTACAGTAATATCTTTTAATGATTTAATTAGTAGCTTGCTTGGTGAATCGGTCTTTTTTTAAATTAATTTGAATTTTAAATACATCCACAATAAACAAGAAATAATACACACATACATACTTACAATTCTATGTACTTTTTTATTGAATACATCATCTTCACTCAGAATCAGTAAAATAATAAGAGACATGTATATATGGTGCGAATTGCAGTTTGGAATGCTGTATAAAGTCTTCAGAGTTGGGATAATCTAAGAAAAAATAACTATTAAAATATTTGCACATTTTATAGATATTATGAACATACCAATTCATCTATATTGTCGTGTTGTACAACATAAGTTTTAAACGATAAATTACGATGCAGTAAAATATATTCTAATAAAGTCACACTGTCCATATTTCCATGCCTGTGCAGGGCCTCAAACAGTTTATTATAATCAATTTTAAAAGAAGTCACCTGGCTTGTTAGACCCGATGTGATAGTGCCTAAATATATGATAATGTATGATAAAATAATTGATTTTTGTGTTATGAATAATTTAAAGTAATTACTACCTGAATTATCACTGCAAGTAAACAGGCATTGGCGGTATGGATTGCTGTCATTTATAGAAATATTTATTAATAACAATAGCAGCATCAAACTTTGCGAAGCAAGGGGTTCTTCAACCATATTAACAGCAGGGTTATCTCTTTTTTCTTGATTAAAAGTAATAATAGACCACAAACCTGATGCAATTCCTAAAAAGAAGACAAACATATTAAGAAATGTCTAGCAAAAAAAGCAAATAAAAATTACCAAAGACCATGCTGTGATGTCCATAATTTCTTACACTGGGTGGCAACTTTTTTTGATCAATATAATTCTGTAAAAGCCTTTTGACCAATAATGGAGCATGAATATTATGTGTACCTTTCATTATTATATGATAAATAATCGAATTGTCTGTGTTACTTGAATTCAGTTGCACAGCCAATAGTATAATTAAACTAATTACCACTTCTAAATGTAATAAATAAGTTACTTCAACAACTGGTATATCAACAAGAAGTTCAATTAATGATCCAATAAAAGTTCTCGTTTGTTCTGCAGATTCAAACTTGTTTTCTAAATGTTGAAGTATCTGTTCTTCTGTTAAATTCTCAACCATGTATTTCAAAATATGTCTTATAATATATAAAGCATTGTGAGTTTGCCAAATAAATAAGTTGCTGAAATGAGTTCAAAACAAATCATTTGTAAAACTAGAAAGCAGCTATCTATCACCAAAAATACTTACTCACTTGTATCAATTGCTTCTACTAGTTCTGATACTTTTAATAGAAATATTTTAATAAGAGTTCCTACATTATTTGAGTATGAATTATTTTCTATTAACTGCTCAAACTGAGTTCTACTGTTAGTTTCCAGCATGAAATTTTGATCTCTGAAATTACAACAATTCATAAAATAATACTAGTTAAACTTATTAGTATGTAAAATAAAATAAATACTTGATAATTAACGAGGGACTATTGAATGCCAAGAAACGATTCCAGAAGGGATCGTTTGATGAAATATTTTCTTTTCCTACGAACCGTGACACGTATTCATTTCTAGTTACATCTGCACTTGCTCCCGTCCCCATTTTATTATGTAGTTATCTTCGCATAATAAAAGATAAATATGTTTTAAATATTGAGGTTGCTCACGTATAATTAGCAAGAATACAGTTTTGTTATCCACTATAAATAATTATAAATCAAATATAACTTCAGTCAACGTAGAGGTTATATTTATCATATTTTTGTCAGGATGGGTAGCCTTTGAATATCGGTAGAGTGTTAGCCAACTTAAGTTTATTTTAAATTTGAATTTTTAATGAAATATTACAATTCATAATAATTAACAATCTATTTTTGCTTATAAGCAAGGGTTTTAATATTTTTACAGGCCTTCAAATCAATTAAAATGCTTTGTGAATTTTCTTTTTTTTTTATTTTAAAAAACTAGAATCAGAAAGTACGTATTATATAAATAATTAATATATAATTACTCTTAACAAAAACAGTCAATTGTGTATGCATAATTATATTGCAATTTCATTTAAAAGTAAATTATTTATTGAAGTATGCAAACCGTAATGCACATGTGTTAAGCGTAAAGAATGCATTTTCACCTTTTTCGTTATTTTTTTCCGCGCGAGACAACCATTATTACCACCATAAACGTATAGTAAATACACTATTGTTTGCAGCCATAGATATGTTCACGCATATTGAGTATATTACTTGCTCAGTGGTTGCAAGTTGATATAGATCGTGTCTAACGCAAACGCGTGTACGCATTGTGTACGTTATAATAAGTTGTGGCTGCTGGTGTGTTTGCAATTGTTTTAACGTCGTAATGGAGCCGTGTAATTTTTCTTACTATGTAAGTATATACTTACCACATTAAATATATAAAATATTGACAAATGTAAATCTGGAGAAGCTGCCATACTGTATGGATAATATTAAAAAAATACCCAACAAAATGGCGTACTTATGGTATTTGTTCAGGCATTTTAAATAGAACAGATTAGGTATGTAACAGTCAGTTTTTTCAACAATTGAGGACTTTTGCAATGTTAAAAACTTACATATGTGAGTAGCTACCTAATTAAAATTCAGATAAAACTTATTGTCTATTGTGCGATCCTTAAACTATAAATTTAATATGCTAATGTTCTGTGCTTTTATGTCACGTTTTCTTAGACTTCCGTACACCCTTCTGTCATCTTGTCATCCTAATTAACAACCCTCTCTCTCTCCCCTATATACAACAACCTCCCAGCTTTTGTGGAATTTTATAACATTTTGGCGAAGGTAATTATTGAGGAAAAAATACTTTGATTACTGTTTACTTGTTGTTATCAATGGCATTTGTATCTGATCCGCAAGGAAATTAATGAAGAAATTAACTTTATTTAACTTGTTTCAGACTGGCAAACAGGAACTATTGTTAGTTGAAATTACGATAGTTTGCTTCAGCATGACTGGGTAAGTTTTTCATTTGCATGATATTTTGTGGATAATAGCAGAAATTGAATTCCTCTTTTTTTTTGTGGGTTGTTTGTTAATCTAAATGTGTACATCTACTTATTATTGTATTCAAAGTAGAAATTGGAGACTGTGGTAGACGACTAATTAAAAAATAAAAGAGAGACACTCAAATTACGACTATAAATTTGATCACTTCTAATGTGGGCCACTTATTTAACGACAGTTGAAAAATTCCATTTATCGTACAAAGATGCAAATAATGTCTAAACTACGATACAATAACCAATAGATTAAATACAAAATATACATATACATTTCTGTTTAACCGTTATTATTTTCGACGTGATGGTGGGGCCCCCTTGACGCTTGGGGCTCCGGTGCACCGCACCGCCTAACTGACAACTATGCGTCTGACTATGCTTATTTTATTTGGCTTTATTTAAACTGAATTATTTTATCGATGTTTGAGAATTTAAATTTAAGTGTAGTGTACTGTAATATAGAGAAGGCATGAAGGTCTTGTCAGAGACATATTAGAGGCAGAAACGGAAGTTAGGAGGGGTAGAGGTAGACCTAGATTAGATTACTGTTCGCAAAGACTTAAGGAGGTAGGTTGTTCTAGTTTTGGGGAAATGCGAAGATTAGTTCAGGATAGGAAAGAGTGGAGGTGCGTGTCCAATCAGTCTTAGGACTGACGATCTTATGATGATGACCTACTGTAATGAGATTCGGTTTGGTACATAAGCATATATTGAACATCGCATCATCTTTAGTTTTTTTTTTCCATCTTTAATCGTCATGGTTTGATCTTACACGCAAAAAGTTTAATATAACACCATTAGTTACTTTTTAACTAGTTAATTTTTGAATAGTGGTGTTTGTAAAAAAAATGTCCAATTACTGAAATGTCTATTGCGACCGGTCAATAACGGGACATTTAATTTTTGACCTGTGATATACATATATGTCTAGATATATATATATATATATATGTAGTACATGTATTTATGCACAATATATGTGTACATTATACATAGTTGGGTCCTTACGTGCTTGGTATTGTACGTTCTTTTATTGAGTAACAATTAATAAATAATTTATAAACTATAACGGGCACGTGTGAAAATATTTGTTTTGTAGATTTTTTGTTGAATAAATAGTTGCGTTTGCGCACTTTTCGTATTCAAAGAAATTTTGATCGTAGGAGTCACAGTTTGCCAACAAAAATTCTTCATTAAAGTTGAAGTTTGCGTTGTGATAGAATAGTACTAAGTAGGTACTTATTGAGATCATTATACATCAAAATAAGTGTTCTCGTTTCTAGGCATTGTGTGTGCAATTAAATGATGAAAAATATGTAAAAATTACGTAATTCTAATTTAAACGAATATGGATTTGATTTGTTTCTAATAAACCCCCGAAAGGCATTCAAATAAGTGGAAGACAGTTTGGGAAGTTTAAAATTTGTTTTGAAAGAAGTATGTACCGATTATTTGAACAAACGTAATTGCTCGAAAAAAATAGTATAGGTACCTGTCTCATCCTCGGTAAGTGATTGATAATTTCATATTCCGGAAAACAAAAGTTTAATTATTTTAATTTTAAATTCCAAGTTAATGTAGGTATGTACTACACTTATATGTATAGTATAGGTAATATAAATTTTAACTTTAAGTTGCAGTATTAATTCTTTTAAACGACTAAAAATCTAATACCTAGGCACTTCTTTTGCGAGACATATGTCCTTTAATTTATGTGACTTTCTATAGTATTCTCGTTAATCTTTATTTAATCGAATGAAATCAATTTTATTGCCGTACCTATTTAAAAAAAATTCGCAGCGCAGTTTTTAATATTGAAATAGCCGATATTGTAAATTAAAAAGATTCGTTAAAACCTTCCGGCCGTTGCGATAGAATTACTTTGTTGTTATAGAGTTAATTAACACCCTTTTGTAAAGAAATAAATCGACAAACCGTTAAGTGAACTGCTTTAAATTTCCTTGGATATTCTTGTATAAACAATTCAAGCATACACTTTTAAATGATATTAAAATGCACAGGAGAAATTTTACTTAAATCTATTACAGATTTATCAGTTCTCGATAAATTCGATTCTATCAAGATAATCCAAAAATAACAAATTTGCCTTAAGGGTTGTCAACCGATATATTTGATGTAGCCAAAATGGACGGAATTTTAAACTTGTTAATCTGTATTTTTTACAATTTTATACTGTATTCCTTAGAATAATGATACAAACAGTTATCGAAAAATGATATTGAAATATAGCTTATATGATAGGATAATAAATAATAAAGATGAGCACTCTTCAAACATAAAATAAATTGTACTTTGATTGTTTTCTCGCTTGTGTGACATTTGTAGATGCGGATGTGGAAATAATAATTCTTTTAACAATAAATGTAATGAAATTTGAATATTTGATTGTCTTTTTTGTTAGAAGGTCATTATTCTTAAAGCCTTATAGGTACCTATTCTAATCGGATCGCTAAAGTTTCGCAATAATTTATTTACCCGTACTGTCATATAATATGCCCGACCTATGTATGCTATTATTGATTGTGTTCCCAAAGGACGCGTAGGTAATTAATTTCACGATGAATTAACAAATTTTAGTAAGTCATCTCCCATGTTAACGTTTTCTAAATTATTATAATTTATGACAATTTTCGTATTCATCAAAGAAGACTGATAATCGCGACAATGACGGTAAGGGTTGTACGTGTACGTAGTAAATAAAAATAAAAAAAATTAATAAGCGTTGATGTATTAATAATATTTGTTAGTCAAAGTGTTAATTATCGTCATTTGTAATTGACAGTGTGACTCATTTGATAAATTTTTTTTTTTAATGACCTGTTAACATTCTGTAAATCAATTTTTAGCATTTACCTAATACATATTCAACCCACTGTAGATATATGTTCAGTCAATGAATTGCTTACTTTTTTTAATAAGCATTCCCTGTTATATAGTAATACAAAAATCATCTCGTGGATTACCCCGTTCTTCTAATCTCGAATTAGTCATCCCTTTTTCTCGGTACGATTTTAATTAATTTTATATGCCTACATCATCATCATAAGCACGCATAATAATAATCTTCGCTTTTCCCTAAAACTAGAACATCCTACATCCTTAACTATTAGCGAACAGTAATCGAATCTGATGTATACATGCGACCAACTTAATAAAAAAAACTAATAGTGGTAGAAAAATCATATGTATATATATTGGCTGTTTTCACATGGAATCTATTGTTTTAAATTCCTAAGTGATGTTACGGAGGTAGAAAGCAGTAATGAATCATAATAAGTTTGGAAAAACGTTCGAGTAAAGAATGCGTTGTGAATTTCTTTTAAAACAAGCGTTAAAGGCATAATACACTGCGTAATGTTTTCGTTTTCTGAATATTACCAAACTTTACGAATAAATTAAACGGAATAATGTTTAACATTAGAAATAAGTGCATGTCATACTCACAAGAAAAACAGTTACTTATAGGTAGGAAAACTTTTCCAGATTTATTTACGTTCTAATAGAAGATTCATAAATCTAAATTTATTTTGACGTTAATATATTTTAATAAATTATTGGTATTATTTCAGTCAAGAAATTTGTTGTTTTAATGTACCTACTCTGAAATATGTGTAGGCACTTGTATTAAAAATGATTGCTTTACAACTTCATCGGTTAAAGAAAGAATCGTTCTTTTTGTTTAATTAAGCAACTTTTGATTAGTTTCGTTTCAGCGCAGTTTACTTTTTTTTTTTATAAATTTAGTTTCAGACATCAGGATTCGTGATTAGCGGCAACGAAATCTATTATTTTTCAGATAAGAAAGGCAGAAAAATGAAATGAATTGGTAAAATGTTGAATAAATTTAAAAGGAAAATAACAAAACTTTCCTTGCAAAAATCAATTTTGATTTCATTTAATTAATAATGTTGTGTAATGTACTTATATACAATTACAAACATTCGTAAATATGTACATACGTGTGTACGGCATTTAAAGTGTGATTTTATTTGAGCTTGAGATGGAACAATAAAGACAATCCAATGCTTTATTATTCTTTGTTTCAAAGGAATCTCTTCTCTAGACGAACGTGATAATTTATCGAATCGATGAAATTCACCGTTAGCTAGAAATGATGATGAGAATTTTTTTTATCAATTACTGATTCGTCAGATACAGTAAACTGGAGTACGGGAAGGTACTTGTGTGTATGAATAAATTAAAACAGATATATTAGATAAAGCTGTAACAGTAAGGAGTGATTACTAATAATAAATGTCTTCTTAATATTTTCAACTTGTGTGCATGGTGTGGTGTATAAGGCGAAGATAGGCAGGCTTGAATGTGGTTAAACACTTTAATAACTCACGTCATTAAAAAAAAAGTGAAAATAATGCCGTTGTTAATATTAGCAGGATGATGTTAACGTGTGTGTTGTTTGAGTTTATTTATGGTTCAATCTTCTTCATAGAAATTACAAATAAGATGGATAGATTTAAGTGTCAGAATGGGGTAAAGAATGATCTATCGCGATGTTATTTATTGTTGGATTTCATAAGATAAAGCATGTCATGAATAATATATGAATAAAAGTGATATAAAGAGGTATCTGCTTCTTAATATTTTCACTTGGGTTGGGCTAAATGTGTTCCACGAAAAAAGAAAAACGAAATAAAACAAATGCAATTTTCTCTGACAATTTATGTCGAATTGATATTTCGTTATCATCATCATAAGGTCGTCAATCCTAAGACTGGTTGGACACGTACCTCCACTCTTTCCTATCCTGAGCTAAACTTCGCATTTTCTTAAAACTAGAACAACCCACATCCTTAACTATTTGCGAACAGTAATCTAATCTACCTCTACCCCTCCTAACTCCTGTTTCTGCCTCTAATATGTCCCTGAATAGACCTTCATGCCTGAGAACGTGTCCTACCAGCCTATTGATATTGAAAAAAAATAGGTATAGTCCTCAATTTGTATCTGAAGTTGAGAAAGTGAAGATGGTATATGATAAAAAAAGGTAGATTGTTTGTATAAATAGGTAATTACATAAGTAATCGAACATGGTTATTTTTTTTGGCATTTAAAACAACTTAATTGAGGTGGAGTGAAGTTTTAAATTAGGGCGTCTTCTATTTGAACTAATGATTGTGCATACCCTGTAGGTATATTTCTTTTATACATTTGAAAGTTTATCAGGTTCAAACTACGTAGTCCCAGGCTAAACGTACATATGTACATAAGTACGCACTATATTTTCATTGTCAATTTTATTTTATTAAATTTGTTTCTTATTGACTCCAATACATCATTAAATTGTAGTGTTTTCCGGCATCGAGATTGAAAACGGCCCATTTCTCAGACTTTTCGCAGATAAAATGGTTGTAGGTTACGTTGTGACCGTGTTAGAGAGATAATTGCGTATTTTTCTGACAAAATACTAACGACGACAACGCGTGGCGACCTTTAAGGCAAACTTGTATTTAGAATTCAAATTACGTGCATAATAAAAATGCGTTTATGAACACTTTAGAGTTTCTAATCTTCAATACAGTGCCTTAATTTTAGGAACTTGAACGAAACAAAAAAGAAAAAAATAAAATTAGTGGGTTGTTTATAAATTCGTAACATCGCAGTTTATGGAAGGAAGATATGAACACTTCGAGTGCTGAAAATGTTACGATTTCCGCCGCTGATATTGATCAGTATAAGATAGATATTAAAGAGTATATTTTCCCAAAGGGTTGGACATGGCTCATAATATCCCTCCACACTGTAGTATTTTTGATCGGTTTTGTCGGCAATATCCTCGTTTGTTTAGCGGTTTATAGGAACCACTGTATGAGAACGATAACGAATTATTTCATAGTAAATTTGGCGGTAGCAGATTTTCTTGTTATCGTTTGGTGTTTACCGCCGAGTGTTATTTGGGATGTTACTAGCACTTGGTTTCTTGGTAACGAAATGTGCAAAATCGTAGTATATTTGCAGGTGAGTTATACCTAGGTGAGTGTGCTCTTCTTAGAAATCTCAAAATCTGTGAAATAAATTATCTCATGTTAAAGTAATATTTGAAAAAAGTTATTAAATCTCTATGACATTATACCAGAGTTGATACCAGATTAATAAAAGATGTGATTGAAAACATTTTTTTAAGAAAATTATCCTGCACTGCCTGTAGCTTTTCTCTTTTGGTATGTTAATCTTAGGTCTCGTTATAGACGGATGTCACATACATGCTGTGTTTGTTTACTTCAACGTAATTTTCCGAATTGCCTTTTTAGAATGTCTCTGTTATCGTCTCAGTTTTGACTCTGACGTTCATATCTCTAGAGAGATGGTACGCTATATGTTTCCCTATAGAGTTTAAGTCGACCATGGGTCGAGCTAAAACTGCAATCGGAATAATTTGGTCTTTTGCTTTATTATTTGGTAAGTTTCTTACATGGTATCCCAAATTTGATAAAAACTCGAATATGAAAACATTAAAATATCCGAAATTCCGGCACCCTCAGTTAGACAGTCTGATCCACAAAACTAAGTGTGTAAGTCTGACAAATCTAACTGAGTATCGCTTGTTACTTTTTACAGTTAGGTAATTAAACGTTTTATGGAATTTCGTGTACTTTAAGTGTTTTTTTTATAGTGAAGATCCTTAGACAAGAACCATTTTTCTCTGCATGAAACAGTTGTATCAGAAAGGAATTAAATTGGTTACTTATTCGTCCGTATTTGTATATATCTAAGTGTTCTAATCAACGGAAGAAATATTCAAAAGGCATCTTCTTTAGCGATTGTAGTATTATGTCTATACAGCTTTCTGCTATGTTTAAGTTTGATTAGTGGATAATGTTTTTTTTTTGTTTTATTCGTTTTGACGTTATTGCTACGGAGAAAATACATATGGGTACTTAATTGTTATTTTTAGATGTTCCGGAACTGTTAGTGTACAGAACGGTTCCTGACGAAACTTTACCTTTTAAAACAATATTTTTTACCCAATGCGAACCGAATTGGTCAACTAGAACCGATACAATTTGGACAATTATAAAAATCATTTTGTTTTACGTAATTCCCCTTGTATTAATGGTCGCAACGTATTTCCAAATAATAAAAGTTTTATGGACCCCCAAACGTGGGAGTCACAGTACAGGTGAGAACATACCTGTATTGAAAATAAAAGTTAGAGACGTTCTTATAATTAATATACCTATATTTTAAAAATGGAGAAGATACATAATATATGGCCACTAAAAAGTTGTTTCAACTTTGTCACCGCCATTTTTAATTTTCATTTTTGGTTTTAACGAATTAAGTAACATTGAAAAATCAAAGGCGGTGCTATTCTAATACGATTGTGAAATCTAAGTAAAGGATTTTTTAGATATAACAACAAGAAACTCGCCGACTTTCGCAATGAGAATCAATGCTTTAGGTTCGTCTAGACAAATATGCTCTAGAAGAAAAGCTTCGAGAATGCTGGTTGCAGTAGTAATCATGTTCGCTATTTGTTTCTTACCAGTTCATTTGTTGTGTGTTTTAAGGTAAAAATAAGTTTTAACATAACACTGTTTTATGCGTATGGATGTTTACCGAGTTTTTTATTTTCAACTTTCTTCTTCGTATTCTAACAATAATTGTTTATCTTCAAACGCGCGTATTAAAAGTTAAAAAAATAATTTTTGTCAGATGTTGAAGACCCCAATGTGACAAAATAACTTTATCACTCGTGGAAAAGAAAGTTTTAAGTTAAATATACATACATATATATATTTCTGTTTTGGAAATAGTCAACTAATTTTTTTATTATAGATATAATATACATAAAATATCAAAACAAATAACGACCTCAGTTAGACTCTAAATTGATCCAATTACGAATGAAAACATATGTACAATTTTAAACTATTAAATAGGGTACCGTACTAGGGGTAAGCAGGTCGTGCTGGTGAATCTAACTGTTTAATGAGTTGTGTATGTTGCATATCCTTTATTAGGTATGTCGTATCGAATTATTAAATTCACTCCCTCAAACTGCTCACCCTGCTCTTTAATAGTCTAAAATTGCAACATTAACTTTTCAGTTTATTAGATTGATTAGTATGTGAGGATGGCCGTGGGTTTCAAAACGCGTATTAGGCTTTTAAGCTTTTTAAGTTTTGGATTATAGTGTCTCTTATTTAGTTCAGTTCCGCAAAACACCATACGAATTTCTTGTCGTTGTACAAATATGCATATTTAAAAATTTTCTTCTCGAGGATTGCTATATGTATGACATATTTGCAGGTTAACGGTTGGTTTAACAAATAGTGAAACGAATAGGGCATTTTCCTTAATTTCCCATTGGTTGTGTTATGCCAATAGTGCTGTTAATCCAGTTATATATAATTTTATGAGTGGTGAGTATCATCGCAATATGCACTACTTACCTACTGTTCATCCCTTCTGTGAGCAGTTTTTAATTGACAATTCGTGATATGTAGCAGTTGTTTTCTTTTAGAAAAATGTGTTTAACTCAGAAATTGGTGGCTAATCATTCAAAATTAAAACCCCAACGTTCTTAAAAATAATGAGCCGGGGCAAAAACGGACTTTACTTTTGGAAAATGCATACATATCTTAAATATCTAAACAGAGTGTTTTTCCTTTCTCGTCAAATAAAAAAATAAACTTTCGACTTTTTAGTAGTTGTTCCGTTTTAAAATACTCGAGAATAATATAACGAAATAACTGTTTTATTGTCCAAAACAATTATTTTTGGAGTAAAACAGCTTCTTATCGTTATTTTAACGTGACATGTTTTTAGGGAAATTTCGAAAAGAGTTCCGTAGAGCATTCGCATGTTGCTTTAGGAATTCGTCAACTGCAAGAAGACTCGATAGTGCTCTAACGTACAGAAATGCGCCAACGAATGAAGAAAATGTAGTGTTATTTTCTAGATTATTGCATCAGACTTCGAAAAGACATTGTATTGTTAATGCGAACGTAAACGATTGTAATTCGAGATTTTGTACATCGACTGTTTGACTGTTTTAATAAGACTTTTTAAATTAAACTACATAATTTCCACCAAGCTTTTAGTCATATATGTGTGTAGGTACATAAGTGGTACATGATAGATTATTTATTCTAATATCTATTAGCTATTAGTCGATTTCCAATTTTTGAAAATGTCCCTGTAAACCGCTAAAAATCTCACTATCCGTCGAGGGTCCTCCACGAAACCTCTCATCCAGTTTAATGCTTTGTAAATGATCGAAGTACGTTTTGTATTCCATGAATTTTTCTTTCACGATTTCTAAAAATATGTATCTATATGTATGTAAATTTTTTTATTAAATGTGTGTGTGCGTGTGTCTGCGTATTTCTTTTTTTTTTTTTTTCGATCTTCAAATTGCTAATTTTCTTTGAGCGAAAAGCATCGATTTGTAAACAATTCGTGAATAAAATTTACGCTGTAAATAAGTTATAACTATTTTTGCCTTTGAGAGCCTGTTTATTACTTATGTAGATATATATTGCATCGTACTTTGCATCTCTTCTAAAGATACGCCTTCCCCTCCTGCCTCGATTGGTAGTAGCTTTTTTGAAAATAAATTAAAACAAATTGATGAATCAGGATCAACGACAATCTAGAAAATTAAACGATTTTTTTATCCTTGTAAACAAACAACAATGAAATTATTGTGCCGTATAATATATTACTTTTTTTATATTTTTACCTTTATTTTCTTATTATTAATGACGGGTAAGATGATTTTAAAAAAGGCATCCCATCCAGGTGGAGTATTTATAATGTAGGCACCCTTAAAGTTTTTTCGAAAAACCTTCTGAAAATTACAATAGGTAAATAAATGATTTCATTTTATTTCGCCTATCAATACGTTGCAAACAATACAATAGTACATCATCATCATAAGGTCATCAGTCCTAAGACTGGTTGGACACGTACCTCCACTCTTTCCTATCCTGAGCTAAACTTCGCATTTCCCTAAAACTAGAACAACCTACATCCTTAACTATTTGCGAACAGTAATCTAATCTAGGTCTACCTCTACCCCTCCTAACTCCTGTTTCTGCCTCTAATATGTCTCTGACTAGACCTTCATGCCTCAGAAGGTGTCCTACCAGCCTATCTCGCCTATTTTTTATTGACTTCCATAGAGTCCTCTGTTCTCCTATTCTTTCCAATACCTCTTCATTTCTAACCTTTTCTACCCACGATATCCTCATCATCCGCCTATAACACCACATTTCGAACGCTTCTAACCTTACAATAGTACATAATAATAATAAAAATATTTATACAGGTTGTTTAGGTTGAACTGTAGGTACTTACATACTATGTTTATATGTAAATCAACTGTGTTTTAGCAGTTTGCCACTGAAACGAAATTTAGCAGTTGGTTGGCGTAATAGGTATTAGATACTGTGGTTTTTAACGATTAATTAATGACATCGTACCTAGTAAGACTGTTAAAAAGGATAAATTGTGTTTGTTCAAAATGCGATCGAATTTAATCATAATTAGAATTTATCTCGTATGTTTGTCTGTGGATCGTTCACGAAAAATAAAACATCATTCCCTTTAACTTAACATACAACTTAATATGATGTATGTAGCAGTAGTTTGAAGAAAATTTTCAGACGAATAATATCTACTTAGTATCTATCGTATTTCACTTTTTCACTTGCCTGCATCAAAGTTTGTGATTTCTTTAAAATGGATATATCTACTAGAGAGAAGTGGGCCATTTTTATACCCGATAAGTCGATTATTGCTATCGTAAAACCTATAAATCCTTCGGCAATCATGAGATCATGAACATTTAACATGTGAGCGATGATACAATTCCAGTCAAAATGATTGGGGTCGGCGTCTTTTATTTTTGCATAAAGGATGGTTTTCAAATCTTCTGTCTGATAAGGTAACGGTATGAAATAGCTGTTAAAAATAATAACGATACTTACGTTACATGTTACAGGAATTATTTTCAAAGTTATTATTATACTTACAATATATCCGCTACCCTTTTCATTTCGCTGTCCGAGGGGTGTTTAAAGAGGGCAGGAAAAGTTGAACGAAACGTGTAATAAAAATCTAAAATCCCTTTAGTTTCTTCCACACTGAACTTACCATACGACAAGAAACTTTTGATAACGTTATCATCTAAGAACATCCGAATACGATATTGTAAGTGTCCAAGTCAGATAGTGAAAATATTAAATTTAGACTCGCTACATTAGTTAGGATGTTTTGTGTATAAATAAACTTTTATATAAAAGTATTTTGGAAAAAGAATTGCAACTGACCGTGAATTTCCGGTAGATACGATTGTTTCTTCAGCCATTCTTTAACTGCCTGAATGTTATTTCCCAATGTTTGTGATGTTATTCCAAATTCAGCCAAAACCTTTTCTTCATCTTTTTTTTCAAATAACATACATTTCTTCGACATTATAAAGTCTTCTGTAACAAATAAGTGCGACTGTTCTCGATAAATATTTTCACGTTTTATAAATGTTAATTGACACTACATTCGTATTGCATTAAGTTACACTAAAAATTATAGTTGAATTGCTTGTAATTTTATCATTGTTTACTGTTACTTTGTTTTTATAAAAGTTAATTATTTGTATATACATGTAATGGGGTTTTTAAGTTAATTCCGTGTTTTTTTTTTCAGTTTACCATTTAATTTAAAAGATTCAAATGATTGAAATTTATTTACTGGAATGTACATATAATATACTGACCGATTATAGTTACAATTAATTAATTTTTTAATTGTTTACACGGAGGTTGCGATTGGTTTTGCACAAAACTCGAATTAAGAGAATATCTTCCTACTTAAAATATTAGGCAAATGATTTTGCACAATTAGAATGAACTTTGTTATTTTGTGTGCACACATTATATTTGATAAAATATAAAAAAACTTTATCCATTTTAGTGCCGATTTGTGCATTTGATAATACGATACCTACTTCCTCAAGATTTTGACCCGATTTATTCTTCAAAAAAACTTTTATTTTATAAAATACAAACGACTACGATATATTATTAGAAAATTGTTTGTTTTTTTTTTTCAGAAAGTAGTAGTTACAAGATGACAAATTGGTGTTGATTTAGACCACCTTCTTAAATGTTCTGCTGAAATTGCTGACCATTTCCACAACATTGAAGCGAACTTAATTGAAAATAGGACTGTTTGCTGTCTAGGCCAACATGGTCTGAAAGTTATTGGATCGAAAGGTAGGCTGTTTGAATACGTATTTGGGGTCATTTATTTTATAACAATTTTGCTTGTTTTCTAATAATTTTTGATGTTCATCTTGAAACGAATGAATACTACCATTCTTTTTTTTTGTGTTCTTTAAACTTATTCTGGGTTCAATTTCGATGTGTGGGATGCACTTCTAATCTTTAATTTAAAAACATTTTTTCTATTTTTTGGTAAATTAATTTCGCTCGTATTAAATGAACTGAAAGTACCAAATTTTATTAAAAATGTTGTTGGGAATCATTGTGAACAATTGTATATTTAGAAATGACCGAGCTACAATTTCAACTTTTGATTTAAAAACTTTTTTTTTATTGTATTAATTTTCTTTCATTAACCAATTTGCTAGTACTAAAATGCTGTTAGACCTTAGTGAAATCAGTTTTATAGTTGGGAATTACCGAGTTGTACTTTCAAGGTCCTCTTCAGCCAAAACCTTTTTTTTGTATAACGGCTTAGACTATTTTTGTTTTGTTGTTGTCGTGTTCTTTTTATTTAATCGTGTATTTGCGTTATCAGAGTATGATATTCGAAGAAATTTAACATTTTTGTCATAATGTGGAGTTTGATATCCCTAAATCAGATAAGTCGGTTGACGATAGTAAGTAAAGTTTATTTAGAATTTACGTAAGAAATCTTCTGATTTGATTACGTATAAATTAAACCATATAAAACATATTAATCTGCTAAAAATGATCAAATCGTAACCACAGTAAAATACGTTATTTTGCATATGATCCACAAACAATTTAATCAATTATCCAAACCTAATATCACAAAGACGCTTACTTATAGTTAAAAATGCCGACAAAAAGTTAGTTTTATTTGAAAAAATTCTGATGAACGTATAAAAATGTAATAAAGTAATAATAGTAACGGAGATAGATGCTTCTTTATCAAAAATAGCAATTGATTAAGAAGAAAAGTAATGTACCCCTTTTTTTTTTGGTAGCATATGGTTACAAAAGTTACTGAAGTCTAAAGTTTATTTCTACCGTTCCAAAAAGTATTTTATTGAATGTATGTGTAATGTGTAATGAAGTTTTAGTCATAAAACCCTTGTAAAAAAGTCCTGCACCATCTTTGGCACAAGAAAGGAAAAAACCAGCTGTGATTTTGAATTATCCCAAATGAAAATTAAAATTTCCCACCCTTATGCCAAAGAAAGATGCTTGTCAATTTTTTCACAACGATTTTGTAACTAAAACATCCTACGTTCCTGTATAAGATGAATAATACATTCTAAATGTTTTTTTTTTATATGAGCAGTCGTCTATATCATCTATGTCATCTTTTGCTTTTCTTTAAACACTTGAATGAAATTAATTGACTGCATTATGTATACGTATACAAAGTACACATTATGTCATCTTTTGGTACAAAATAACTACAAATTATAGTTAGTTAGTTACCTAAAAGCTTAAAATTCTAAATAATTAATATACATCAAGGTTATTAATAATTCGGGCATAGGAGAATTAAACCACAGAATCTGTTTGTTAATATTACTATATATAATTACTAGAAAAACTTTAATTGCGTGCAATTTTTTTAAAAATAACAATAAGGTAGTTCTAAAATGTTATACTGCAATTAGCTAGTTTCTTAATTTCATTCGTTTAATGTTTATAAATTCAACTTGTCCGTTTGGTCGAATTTTATTATATCCAAAGATGCATATATATCTTTGCGAGTAGTGATCAGGCGATGGAACTTGCACGAAGCAAAAACGCAGATAAATTGAATTCTGTAAAACGGGGATGAAATTAAGCACGCGATTGGTTACAGCGTCGCAGACAGCGAATTTAACTCATCTGATTGGCGTTTGTCTACGTCATCAGTGCTTCATGTGGTAGCAATCGCAATTTTGCGACAAGCCTGAGAGGCGTTTTGTTCATTATAAGTTCATAAAGTTTCGAGGTGGAAGGACGTGTTTTCGCGTCTCTTAAATTCAACTTATCGAGCTATTAGTTTTAATTTGTTCTTCGTCTGAAAGGTTAGTTGTTAGTTTGATTGATTCACATTCTATTACTATTATTCGTATTTGCCCACAGCATAAATTAATTTGACAAAATTGTTAAGGGTTATATCTTCAGACATCAGAAGGCTACGTCGCCATTTTTAATGTTTTGTTATTTTATTGGCTTTTAATTGGTTTTTTATTACATGTTTTTGTTTTATTTCTTGTTTCATTTATTTAATAGGAGTGTTTAATTGTTTTTTTTTTTAACCATTTTCCGCATATATTTTGACTTTCATTTGAGAGAAAGGGAGAAAAGTGAAAAGGATTAAATATTTAAATTTTCTGCGTAACAGATATCTATTAAATTAATTAGTTAATAATTGTTTTTGTCCGTTTACACAGATTGGCCAACAATTGTGAGAGATTGGAACTGATATCTTTGCTTACTGAAAAGATAAGTCGTCTCCTATGGTGTTTTAGCTGTTAACCTTTCATCTTGGAGGCTCTTGTAGTTAATTAAGGTGAGCATGCATACTATACTTTCTATATGTAGTGTATTTATTTGATATTAACAAAGAAAAAGATTCAGCATTACTTTAACAATGTATCGTGCACTTAATTTACTTAATACTTAATTAATTATATCTGAACACTTTTTCATAAGATTTCATTTTACAGGAACATTAGAAGAACTCGGGATACCATTAAATTACGAAAGTATAGAGCGTTGGTTGTATTAGTCCTCATTTGCCCCAGAAAGTAGCTGTGCCCATGATTCTAAAGAAAGCATGAAAGTGCCTTTTTTCCGTTGGGATCGAAGCTGTTAAATTTTCATCCCGGATGCTCTTGTAGTTAATTAAGGTGAGCATACATGCTGTATTATATATACGTAGTGTATTTGTTTGATATTAGAAGACAAAAGGGTACGGTGTTACTTTAACAATTTATTTATCTACTTAGTAGGGGGTCTTTTTTTATTTTTATTATATTTGAATACTTTTTTATAATATTTGATTTTACAGGGATGTTAGAAGAACTCCAGATGCCATTAAATTGTGGAGCATTGATTGTGTTGGTTCTCATTGACTCCAAAAAGTGACTGTTCCTATGGTCATAAAGAATGCATGAAAGTGCCTTTCCATTGGGAACGGAGACAATGTGCGGAAGAAATGTGCTGCTGAGGGAGGGATTTATGACAATAAACTGGTATGTAACAGTATCAATTAAAATTAGTAAATGAGGATCCCAGGAACTTGATTTCTTGGACATTTGTAACTTACTTCAATAGACAACTTTTCAGAAATGGAAAAAGCAGAATTATTGTGGAACTGACCTTTCCATCAATGTGAAAGTTAATTTCTAACTTTACCACTATATCGCCACATGAAAATATTACTCATTTACTTTCTTTAAAAGTGATAATTAATTACCTTTTCTTATCTGTTTCTATATAGATTGCCCCACAAATGACGAGGGATTGCAGTTAATTTTGATGCTACTGAAGCAACCGATGCTTTTGATGTCTTCACTTTGCAACATTATGTAGTCAACTTTTACCGTAACAACAGGAGGCAGTTGGAAATTAATTAATTTGGAAGAGACTGGAACAACAGATTGTTTGCAGTGGTATCCCTCCTAGATTTGGTTTGCTCATCACACTGGTAGACTTTAGAACGCCATTTCTACAATTAAGGTGAGAATACACGACTTAATTAGTATTAATTGCTCTTTATTAATCTGTTATAAAATTTCTGTTACAATTACCGATTGTAAACAGTATAAATTGAGGTTATTGTGTGCATCTATATCTCTAACAGTTCTTATTTCCCACAGAATAAATTGACATTTATCATTGATCTGTCTATGGAGTTTATCTATCTATGAAGTTTAACTATCTATGGAGTTTATATATCTATGAAGTTTAACTCTCTATGGATTTTCTATTTAACCTTTTGCTATTGTCTGCATCCTAAATTGACGTCGAATTATTTGACATTTATCTATGCCGTGATCTATGGTTGTGATGTAAAATGGCGTTGAAATAACGCTTGTTAATTTATAATTCAACTAGTTTTACTTGTGTTTTGATGCGTTTTTATTCGTGTTTCTTAATTATAAGTGTAATTAATGTGCTTTTTTGTCCTTTTGTGCAGGTCATACAGTAACTGAGAGAGAATTAATGTTCAGTTTGTTTATACTGAAATAGGCAATGTCTACATGGGTGTGGTCTTTCGTGGATTATATACTTGATTTGCTATTTCTTCTTCGCCTTGTAACATCGTGCAGTTAATTTTCAACTCATGAGTGAGAGCAAGTGGATATTTGAATTCCACTGAAGTAAGAAATTCTCTGCTACGGTGTTCCTCTTGGAATTGGTTTGCTTTTTGCACCTGTAAACTTTGGAACGTTACGTTCTACAATTAAACAATTAATAAAGCATGAAAGTGCCTTTTTTCCATTGGGAACGAAGACAGTGTGCTGAAAAAAGGATTTATGACATTGAAGTGGTATGTAACAGTATCCGTTAAAAATAGTAAATGATATCTTTAGATAACTTCAATTTCTTAGACATTTATAACTTGCTTCAATAGACAACTTTTAAACAACGTTTCAGAAATGGCAGAAGCAGAATTAATGTGGAACAGATTTTTCCATTAGTGTGCATGTTACTGACTTATTCGATTTAAAAATGGTAATTACTTTTTCTTGCCTGTTTCTATATAGATTATCCCACAAATGAGAAGGAATTGCAGTTAATTTTGATGCTACTGAAGCAACCGATGCTTTTGATGTCTTCACCTTGCAACATCATGCAGTTAATTTTTGCCGTAACAACTGGAACAACCAATTGTCTGCAGTGGTATCCCTCCTAGATTTGGTTTGCTCATCACACTGGTAGACTTTAGAACGCCATTTCTACAATTAAGGTGAGAATACACGACTTAATTAGTATTAATTGCTCTTTATTAATCTGTTATAAAATTTCTGTTACAATTACCGATTGTAAACAGTATAAATTGAGGTTATTGTGTGCATCTATATCTCTTTAACAGTTCTTATTTCCCACAGAATAAATTGACATTTATCATTGATCTGTCTATGGAGTTTATCTATCTAGGAAGTTTAACTATCTATGGAGTTTATATATCTATGGAGTTTCAATTTAACCTTTCTCTAGTGTCTGCATTGTAAATTGACGTGATATTTGACACTATTTGTATGTCGATTATGGTCGTGATCTATGGTTGCGATGTAAAATGGCGTGGAAGTAACGCTTGTTATTTTATAATTCAACCAATTTTACTTGCTTTTTGATGCGTTTTTATTTGTGTTTTAATTATAAGTGTAATTAATATGTTTTTTTTGTCCTTTCTGCAGGTTATACAACAAACGAGAGAGAATTAATGTTCAGTTTGGTTATACTGAAACAGCCAGTGTCTACATGGGTGTGGTCCTTCCTGGATTATATTCTTGATTTGCTGTTTCGTCTTCGCCTTGTAACATCATGCAGTTAATTTTCAACCCATGAGCGAGTGCAGCTGGATATTTATTTGAATTCCACCGAAATAAGAAAATCTCTGCTACAGTATTCTTCCTGGAGTTGGTTTACTTTTTACACCTGTAAACTTTGGAATGTTACGTTCTATAATTAATTAAGGTGAGAATACTTGATATACTTAATTTCAATTGCTCTTTATTAATCTGTTTGCCACCGTATCTGTTTCAGATCGACGTTGGAGAAGACAAAGATGACCCAGTAGTTGAAATAGTTCTTTATCTTGCATGCTCTATCTAGTAGAATTCATTAAGTTCGTTTTATTCAAATTAATTTTTTATTTTGCATGTTTTTTTTGTTTTTGTAGTTGTAGTTTCTTATAGTTTATTTGATTTAGTTTNGTAAGAGCGGCAAGATAATCAATAAAATTTCAAAGCGAATACAATAAAAAGCATCATATTCTCTACATAAACTGTCATACCATCATTATTTAAATGCAAGATTAGGGAGAAAAAAGCCCCCCTAACCTTCTTAGACCCATATATTTATTAATTACACTAATTACAACATATTTATTTCAAGTAATAGTTTAATACATACTATATATAACGTATTTAATAATTACAACACCAGGAAAATAATTAACAGTTTACAGTGTAAAAAGAAAATACCTGTAAGAGAAAGAAAACAAATCACATTTATATGCAATAAAAAACCTTATATTACGTACGAACTGTTATATTACCATTTCAACACAAGATTAAGGAGAAAAAGTCTCCCTAACCATCTGTGGCCTCCACATCTCCCATTATATATAACGTATTTAATAATTACAAAACCAGGAAAATAATGAACAGTTTACAGAGTAAAAGGAAAATACCTGTAAGAGAAAGAAAACAAATCACATTTATATGCAATAAAAAATCTTATATTACTTACGAACTGTTATATTACCATTTCAANTTTTTAATTTTGTTCTCAGCCTTAAACAACAGTAAAGAATAAAATAGCACAAATACTGTAAAAAGAAAGTTTTTTGTGTCAAGTTTTGAAAATGAGCAGAACCATCGTGTGTTCAGGAACAGCTAAACAATTTGAAAGAAAGCTGAAGTTAATCCCGCGCTTTATTTCTGAACTTGGAAAAAGACCCGATGCAACTTATGCTCTCCTGATACAAATGTTGAAATTTATGAAAATTTTCAGTTTTATGCCAAATACGAGGGTTAGTCGAAAAGTAATGGTAAATTCAAAAGGTGTTTCTTGAAATTTGATTTTTCCATAACTTTTTGACTAGCCCTCGTATACGACGCAAAAGTGAAAATTTTGTTAAATCTGAAAATTTGTATTAGGAGAGCATAAGTCGCGAAAGATCTTTTTCAGAATTCCAATTTTTAGCGCGGGATCAACTATATACGGCAGNCAAAAGGGTACGGTGTTACTTTAACAATTTATTTATCTACTTAGTAGGGGGTCTTTTTTTATTTTTATTATATTTGAATACTTTTTTATAATATTTGATTTTACAGGGATGTTAGAAGAACTCCAGATGCCATTAAATTGTGGAGCATTGATTGTGTTGGTTCTCATTGACTCCAAAAAGTGACTGTTCCTATGGTCATAAAGAATGCATGAAAGTGCCTTTCCATTGGGAACGGAGACAATGTGCGGAAGAAATGTGCTGCTGAGGGAGGGATTTATGACAATAAACTGGTATGTAACAGTATCAATTAAAATTAGTAAATGAGGATCCCAGGAACTTGATTTCTTGGACATTTGTAACTTACTTCAATAGACAACTTTTCAGAAATGGAAAAAGCAGAATTATTGTGGAACTGACCTTTCCATCAATGTGAAAGTTAATTTCTAACTTTACCACTATATCGCCACATGAAAATATTACTCATTTACTTTCTTTAAAAGTGATAATTAATTACCTTTTCTTATCTGTTTCTATATAGATTGCCCCACAAATGACGAGGGATTGCAGTTAATTTTGATGCTACTGAAGCAACCGATGCTTTTGATGTCTTCACTTTGCAACATTATGTAGTCAACTTTTACCGTAACAACAGGAGGCAGTTGGAAATTAATTAATTTGGAAGAGACTGGAACAACAGATTGTTTGCAGTGGTATCCCTCCTAGATTTGGTTTGCTCATCACACTGGTAGACTTTAGAACGCCATTTCTACAATTAAGGTGAGAATACACGACTTAATTAGTATTAATTGCTCTTTATTAATCTGTTATAAAATTTCTGTTACAATTACCGATTGTAAACAGTATAAATTGAGGTTATTGTGTGCATCTATATCTCTTTAACAGTTCTTATTTCCCACAGAATAAATTGACATTTATCATTGATCTGTCTATGGAGTTTATCTATCTAGGAAGTTTAACTATCTATGGAGTTTATATATCTATGGAGTTTCAATTTAACCTTTCTCTAGTGTCTGCATTGTAAATTGACGTGATATTTGACACTATTTGTATGTCGATTATGGTCGTGATCTATGGTTGCGATGTAAAATGGCGTGGAAGTAACGCTTGTTATTTTATAATTCAACCAATTTTACTTGCTTTTTGATGCGTTTTTATTTGTGTTTTAATTATAAGTGTAATTAATATGTTTTTTTTGTCCTTTCTGCAGGTTATACAACAAACGAGAGAGAATTAATGTTCAGTTTGGTTATACTGAAACAGCCAGTGTCTACATGGGTGTGGTCTTTCCTGGATTATATTCTTGATTTGCTGTTTCGTCTTCGCCTTGTAACATCATGCAGTTAATTTTCAACCCATGAGCGAGTGCAACTGGATATTTATTTGAATTCCACTGAAATAAGAAATTCGCTGCTACAGTATTTCTCCTGGAGTTGGTTTACTTTTCACACCTGTAAACTTTGGAATGTTACGTTCTATAATTAATTAAGGTGAGGATACTTGATATAATTAATTTTAATTGCTCTTTATTAATCTGTTTGCCACCGTATCTGTTTCAGATCGACGTTGGAGAAGACAAAGATGACCCAGTAGTTGAAATAGTTCTTTATCTTGCATGCTCTATCTAGTAGAATTCATTAAGTTCGTTTTATTCAAATTAATTTTTTATTTTGCATGTTTTTTTTGTTTTTGTAGTTGTAGTTTCTTATAGTTTATTTGATTTAGTTTTTATTTTGCATGCTTATTTTTGTTCATTTTGTTTGAAGTAATTGTTGATTGTAGATGTTTTTATTTTTTTTTGTTTGTAGTAGTAGTGTAGTAGTAGCACTAACTCGTTTAGTAGTTGTAGTGTAGTCTAACATGTCTCTTGCTTACCTCTTCGCTTAGCTTACTGCATATTCTTACTAAATTGCTTTGCATTTACCCTACGAGTTCTACATGATTCAACGTTTCGTTATCGTGTGTGTTTCTTCTCACCCTTGTGGAATTAGGGAGGGCCTCCCCGAACGACTTCCCTTGGGCTTAGCTATTTAGTTGATCTTAAAAGTGTCTTATACACTTTTCGCGAGTCTACTCTAGCGTTACTTCCTTTCAGACAGGGTACAGTGGGTTATCTGGAATAGGAGCAATAGGCGACTGCCCAGCTTGCCTTGGCGAAATCTGTCCGATCTTCTCTACCAAA